TCCAATACGGAGTTTCCTATCCGCGACTTCCAAGCCAGCAGTTTGGACACTTCATCTTTCGGCCTTGAGAGGCTGATCAACATTGTGATTAATTCTTATCTAGACAGGATATAGCGCAATTCATCCTTCAGTTCTGGAAAACACATCACAGGCCACATCACAGGGGAAAAAACGCTACACTCATTTTTGGTGCAGTTGAAAGATCCCCTGCCGGTTGAAAGGACTAGGGACTGTATGTACAAAATTAACTGAAATGATTGCGCTAAAGCTTATATGGGACAAACTGCCAGGGAATTGCTCACCAGAATCGGTGAACACAAAAGAAGGATTAACAAACCACCAAGGAGTGCATGAGAATACCAGACGCTGGTCAAAGACTCAGTGACGGCGGTACATGCCTTAGAAACGGGACATAGAATAGATCTGGAGGATTTGGAAGTTTTAAGGCGGGGACTGCGATTCACACCACAGCGGATGATAGCCGAGGCGGTGGAAATTACTAAGCATCACAGCGTGAATAGAATCGAGGGTGTGCAACTGACGGGCGTATGGAAAGCGGTCTTAGATAAGCTGAGTTGTTACGCGACGGTGTGGTTGTCAATCATGTTAGGATCGTTAGAAAAAAACCGGGGGTGTGGGTGGAAACTCCAACCGACCAAAGGTCACAACATCCCTCTTGCACAACTATCTTAGCATTAGTTCACCCACATAGACTGACAGAAGCTTCAAACGAAGTTCAAGAGGAACCGTCAAATGAACCGAACCAGAAGAACTAGACCCTAGGCTGGACCCAAACATATGTAGGTTCCTCCACCCGACCCAACACTTGTTCAACCACTCTAACACCAGAATCCCTCTGCCTTGGCTGATTGGTTCTCTTTTCGCCTTAAATCTCGGCCAACCTCGGAACCTAGTCACTTGGCCTGACGAGGCTTTTGTGTCAAAAGCGAAACGTTGCCCAGCAATAAATCTACCGACCGTCACCAAACTTCTTCGAAGACTGTATAGCTGTTTCGTTCATCAACAGTGCGTAACTGACAAAATCATAGTAGGGATTTGAACACAGGAGTCTAGAAAAACATTCCTGTAAGCAACAATAGCTGTCTATTAATAAAGCCATTGGGTGAGTGGGATAATTCTGCTTCAACGGTGGGTGTATATGATCGTGTTTATACCCTTCAACCCTGCAAATTATCTGCAAGTATGCTTACTTATTTGATTGAAATTTATCAAAAGTACTGCTTGCAGACGTCAACTTCCGGAAACATTTTGGTTCCTGCGAAAGGGACAAACTGAATAACCATTGCTATTTACTGCAAAGAGCGGGCGAAAAAAGTGATAGTCAAGAACGCCAATACATTTATTCCAGGCCATGTGAAAGTCAGATCATTCTGCTCACATATATGGATATAAACACAGTCAAAAACGTTCAGGGCCTAGCGACAACAGCTTTATACACACAACTCGGACCATGATGACATGAATAGGTTGAAGAGCGGAAGCGTTTCGCATGTCATAAAGACTGGACTGGTTGTGGCATAACTGTGCACCTCTAACTTGTGAGATTCAGCGTCATCAGAAAAGATTTTATGCCAGTATGGCACAACTGATTAGCTACTTCATTCACTGGTCCACGACTCGCAACCAACCACCGGAGACCTCTAAATTCACCCAATCTCCGAAACACGAATGATATGGGCTCCTTGTGGATTTGTTTTTCGGTGAATCGAATGAAAGGAGCCTATTAATTTCACCACCACAAAAATACCAACAAATAAATGCTTCTTTTCTTTTTTTCTCTTGGGAGAGCACTTCTTATAAGGTTGTTAAAAACCCCATGAGCGCCAATGACCAGTTTTGCCCTCCCAATTCGGACTCTTCGGCGCAGTTCCCAAGCTTCCGTCAACCCTGAACCAAAATATATTATCATGACCGTAGTGCTGTGGTTGTAACACCTCACGCGCTATCATAAAGCGCTTTTTGTCCGCCATACGTCAGATAGTTTTTATCAGAATGTGACCACTTACTGGGTGTTGATCAGATAGCTGTTGATCTGTTCCTCGCGTCTGACAACCAGCTTGCATGCCACCCCTAGCGTTCCACCCATATTGCTGCCGGTCCCTAATCTGAGAATGGCTGGCAGGATGAGAATTTGGACGGAAGTCATAGATCTAACTGGTCATATAAAAAGGGTGATGTGTCTTGAGGCAGTTATGCGACGGCGGTTCCCAGTGTTGTTTTATTGAGAGGGACCTAGACAAAATCAAATGAGAGTTTATTGGCGCAGCCAACAAGTCCACCGCCTTCGCTTACTTTGAGGAGCCTATCAGTATTGTACAGGTTTTGACTGCCACCGTGCATAAGAAAATTACAACACTCGAAAGTGACTGGCCGTGAGTTTTCACCACCATCAGCTTGTCTTCGCCTTTCCTATTCCAACCTTTCGTAACTCCTCTGTTCCAGGTTCAGCCCGATACCTGGTTAAGAGTACCTCCTTAATATACAGTCCTAAACTGTGATTTTATGATCCCCGTAACACATCAAAACATCGGAGAAAAAACAATCAAACAATGGTACAGAAGCTTTACGCGTTTTACAAGGTATGTTAATTTTTTCGACATCAGTGATGTCTTCTATGGTTGGCTGCAGTCCTGTTCTTCCGACGTGACATCACCATACATGCATGACAAATGTTCTGTATGCTGTGCTATTCAGGCTGATACACGCAGTTTCCTTTTGGCCAACTCGAGGCAATTCATGAGAGCTGGAGAACGAGTTCACAGGGATTTCAATCTTACACCACCAAAATTGAGTAGATGTCTTTACTAACTGTACTTTGAGGTACTGGAATTCGGTGCGTCCTAAAGATAGGTTGCAAACTGTACTTCACGTTCAAACATTTCTTTTGAGAGGCCGATCAGGAGGTCTTATCTCATTCCTCTTTCAGAATCTTTTGTACATTCAACTGCTCGACGGCCATCATAAATAAAGCCATTCAAAAATGACCGACGCAGTTCGCACCAGATGAAGGCTGTGGTCTTGATATACCCTTCTCAGTAATCTTGAAAGTACATGTTTTACGCATTCCTCCAAGCTTGCTGGGCTGCATAGCCTACGTAGTTACACGGCAAGCGTCTTATGAATTTCACCCACCTCGACTAGCTTCCGCCTACTAAGGTTATCCGAAACATGCTTTCGTTGTTCACCATTTTCGGATCTATGCATCAATGTAAATCCCGTCGCCTTAGAGCTGGACTGAAACAGTAAGGTGGTAAAAATTCGTTCCGTAACCGTAAAAACGATTTCGGAAACATTGATAGGTTTACTTACCAGGATTCTCTTTTGATCATGACCTCAGCCATGTTGACGTAAATGTTTTGACTGAACTGACGCAATTTACCTACTGAAGCTGAGAATCGCTTGCTTCTGATGTTCCCTATACATCAAGCATCCCATTTCTCTTCCCACCCTTAATTACCCTCGTGTTTTGTGCAGCCTCTCCTGACAAAATTACATGACAGTATTTAGATGGTTTTTCGGTTCAATTTGTAGCCATCACTATCCAACTCTACACCAGGCAGAGCTTCATTGCTAAGCAACAGTACATTCGCATTCCTGTCGAATGTTTAATGTGATTATATTGCGTGACCGTATTGCTTCATTCCTCGAACTGCCATCCAAGTGAAGTCATCCGCTGGCGTTCACTATTTCAGTGTAGTTTGAGTTTAGAGCAGTTTTTGCACAAACGAACACTGACTGCAATTCGAGTTTACCTTATTTGGCACTTCTGCATATGAGCCGCAACCTGCTTCTTATTTAACAATCCCTTGGATTCCTGGCACATTATTCTGGAATTCGTGCGTTTTCTCTGCTTGTACTGTGAAAGCGGAAAGTATACAGGATGTAGGTGGATATATCTCGAGATGGATTTCGTGACTTGTCATTTTTAAAATACAGCTTATCTCGTTTCTTCAGCACACTGACTTACCGATGCTGAAAGACCAACTGGTTAGGATATATTGACCCAAATAACGGTAATCTATGGGAACAGCACTGCCGCATCGAACTAAAGAAAACACTTAAAGGCCGAAATTATCAGAACCCGAGTTTTGCTATAGGTGTGAATGATGTACTGCTCTGGCTAGCTGAAAGGTTTATAGCTGACCGCCATCAGAACCAGGACAGTTTACGGGTGCACTATTTATAGGCGGCAATGGTGAATAAGGTGAACGTTTTCGCACTTCTAGGCGAAAATGCAACTAGAATAAAATTGCACAAAAGTAAAATGCTGGTGTAATCTACAAAACTGTCATCGAAAACGTGCTCAGGGTGATAGGTAATATTGGAACGACAGTTACGGCTAATTCGTGTTAGAAAATCACCACTGGAAAAAACAACTGTTCAGTGGCAAGGGTCAAGTTGTGCTGCGCCACAGGCAGAAAAAGAAATCCTCTTAACTAGCTTGAATTCGGGCCCAAAAATGTCTGTAGGAGATCATTCCCACCACCAGCGCTCATCAAACCCATTTTATCAATCACGTAACTGTTCCCCTCGGTTTTTGTGAGCTTACAACGAGGATGATCATATGTAATTGTTCCGACTTTTAAACTCCCGAGGTCCAAAACAAAATCCAATGCAGAGTTTGTGAAAACATTGTCAGTCACTTCAAACAACAGACTAAACAAGCCAAAAACCAGAATTCTAACAGCTAGTAAGAAATAGTGGGTCTGTTCTTCCCTGATTGTAGTGAGGCAACTTATCTGAAGTGGAAACTGAACGAATCACGAGTGGTTGGATTGCTTTCATAGCGTTTTACTCGGTAGCCTGATTGTTACATAACCAATTTACGTCACACGATAACGTTCGTGTATAACGAAATACGCCTCCAGCGGTTTGGCGCGTGATTAACAGCCTTGCGGTTTAACCAACCGGACGGCATCAACTTGCTAGGTTCTTGCAATATAAAGTCAGCTGGCTGCAGTTTCCGTTAGGCTGCCAGAATGCAGTTTGAGCAGCGTATCGTCGGCAACCGAATGGTCAACACCAGGACCACCACCGATTTGGGTGGCAGCCAGGTAATCACGTTGAAACAATTGGGCGAAGAACTACATCGCATCTTTGAGCATGACTTTGTGGATATTGATGAGGTCAAACAGCTGCTAGGCTCATGCACCAGCGACCCGCTGGAATGGCAATCGTTTGCTCATTTCGATAAATATAGGTGAGTTTCCATTGCACTGGTTTTCACTTGGTGCTCCCACACAAATGATGTTACCAACTTGAACGCGAATTTTTACTACCGTATTATTTCAGATTACTCTTAAGTAAGCTTGAAAGATTGTCTTAGAAAATTATTTTTGAAAGATACCCGTCAATGCGAAATTTTTCATCAGATTATTAGGTTGAAAAGCTTTCTTGGACAAACGGAGCTATGTCATATCCGAGAATGTGGGTAAAAGATTAGCGCGGTTAACAGTGCAATTACACAGACTTCAAAGACTGTGCTTTTTTCTCACCTATAGCCTCCTGAGAACCTCAAAACACAGCTTTTTGCCCACTTACGGAATATTCCGTTGAGCATTCTGAACACACAAAAGTGTAGGAACCTTTTCTTGAAGCTCGACTTGTAAACAGTATCAGGTATGCGGCAGTACAAACGGGCAAACATCAGCTGTGCCTTTACTATAAATTGGAAACTAGCCGTTTCAAAACTTCCTAGAAATTCTCCATTTACTCAATAGAGCG